TTACAGAGATTAAGGGATGAAAGAGGGTTAGTTGATGGGGAATTTAATTCTCCGTCGAAATGCCATTTTGTCATCCCTTAATCTCACTTAGGAGGGGAGAGGTGAATTTTTAATGATCGGGAGTCACTGCGCGCCGCGAAACAGAGATTAAGGGATAAAAGAGGGTTAATTAATGGAGAATTTAATTCTCCGTCGAACTGCCCTTTTTTCATCTTTTAATCTCAATTAGGAGGGGAGAAGTGAATTTTTAATTCGCAGGCAAATGGTGAAAACTCAGTGTGCGCCGCGAAAAAATTATTTTTCTCACGGGCCCCTGACTTTCATGGCAGTTTTTATTTTTTTGTTACAGGGATCAAGAGATGAAAGGGGGTTAATTAATGTAGAATTTAATTCTCCGTCGAACTGCCCTTTTTTCATCCCTTTATCTCAATTAGGAGGGGAGANTTCTCCGTCGAACTGCCATTTTTTCATCCCTTAATCTCAATTAGGAGGTGAGAGATGAATTTTTAATTACCGAGAGTGACTGTGCGCCGCAAAACAATTATTTTTCTTACTGCGCTGTGATTTCCATGACAGTTTCTTCCTTTTTTTACAGAGATTCAGGGATGAAAGAGTGTTAATTGATGGGTAATTTAGTTTTCCGTCAAACAGCCTTTTTTTCATCCCTTAATTTCAATTAGGAGGGGAAAGACAAATTTTTAATTCGCGGGCGAATGGTGAAAAGTCACTGTGCGCCGAGAAGAAAATTATGTTTCTCACTGGCCCATGACTTTTGTCGAAGTTTGTATTTTTTTGTTACAGAGATTAAGGGATGCAAGGGGGTCGATTGATGGCGAATTTAATTCTCCATCACACCGTCTGGGTTTCATTCCTTAATATTAATTAGCCAGCAAATGAATCACCTGAAAAACATTAAGAACATGTTGAGGACGAGGAGAGCATAAATTTCCCCCCAAAATTATCCCTGTGACAGCGGGACTGCTACTGCCGACTTGCCGAGTTACCCGCACAGGCAGTTCGCCCAGCCGTCAGATTCGACCGTGGCGTCATCCCTCCGTTGGGGTCGAACTATTTTTGGCTTGGGGTTATTTCAACCCCGAGATCTGAGCAGAGATCTGAGCCTCTACTTTTTAGTCAATCCTCTTTAGCCTCTACTTTAGTCAATCCTCTTTGTATCCAGCTGTCCATCGGCCGTTATTTTGGAGCACGTCTCATTTTGGACTAATGTTTTCTGGGTATTTCTCTTCAGAGTCCAGTTGAAAAATAATTATTTGTTTAATACATGTAAGTATTTCTTCGAAATATTTAGAAGTACAGTGAAGTGAATAGTGTCTGAAGTTTTCAAAGAAACCTCCCAATCCATTGTAAATCTTTTCGTGCCATGTGTTTGCTGCTATCTCAATGCTGTTATGGGAAAATTATCACTTCCTATGAGTGTTCCATACTTCACATAAATCACTAGTCCGTATGATGAATTATTTCATTTCTAAACAGGTACATATTGCAGATGAGCATTTCTTTTGAGCCAATCCCGCTCCAATAGTCGGAATACTCCTCTGCATCTTCACGTGGTTGCCATACACACCAGGAGCAGGGAAAATACTTGATGATTCATAATTCATCAACATGAAGGGTATCACGAAGAGATTTGAGAGCAGATCACAGGTGATAGAAGAACTTCAAGTCCAATGCCAACGAAGTGATAATGGCACACTGAACCTCAAAGTGACTATATTGACATGGGCATATGCCTGTCAGATCGTGATATGTCTGTCTCCATATACCTACAATTGTCTGGAGCCCGAGGGTTTGATGAATCACCTCCACAAGAGTGAACAGGTCCTACATGAGGTTTATCGTACCCCAGAGATAAACGTCCTTTTTTTTGAGGGTTTTGATGAATCAGACCCTGTATATCCGAATTAGTCGGGGAGAGATGGTCTTGGCTATGAAATCAGGGAATTCAATCAACCTTGTGGGGAACTCTGAAAAATTGGAAAACACGGAGAACAGATGAAGAAAGCTAGTGACGAATTAATCAAATTCAGCAGGACAGGGGCACAATGGACTGTACAGTTTCACTAGTAATGGTTATAATATCATCACTCATCATGATCATTAGACATCTGTTGATATCTTTGAATATCCATCATTTTTATAACTTTCGATCAGTTTTCAGTTTTCATATTTCGCAATAGTGATGAAAATTAGAGGCTTATGAAAAAAAATATCAAGAGAAGTTCCATTTAGGGAGCGAATTGCATAAAAGGAATTTTGTTGAAACTTGCTATTTGTAAAATGGGTTCCTTGATATTTGTTTGGATACCCACGTAGTTGAATTTCAGGATTATAGACATAACAAAAAATTTATAGAAAAAGGACTTTTCTGTTTGAAGTTCTATTGATGCTTGATCGATTCTATCAAAAAATTCTGCAGCTTTAGTGCATAGTTTTCTAATTGAAAATATGGAATAAAAACTATTTGATAGAAAAAATCAGCGGAATTCCGTTTTCAACACAAATTTTTCTCTGATCAAACTGCCGCACCAATAAAATGGGGAAATTTGAGAGGAGTAATTTCCCTCGCAAATATCTCAGTGGAATAAGTTGTATGGAAAAATCTAATTTTATTGATTTTTTAAATGGAATATTTTTTTTAATTCCTATCTGAGAAAACTTGCAGATAGCTTTCCAATACAACTTGCAAAAAAATGATAAAAACTTCAATAGGAGTCCAATACAATTTCGTAACGAATTCACTAGGTTTTTCTTTGAAATTTGTTCATACGTGTAACAGAATTATTTTGCATGATTTGAAGCTCTTCACGACTTACAACTCATTTAATTGATTCTGTTCTTTTCATTATCAGATTCATTCAGGGGAATGATGCCGAAGATGTTGAGGGACACGTTGAAAATGCTCAGTTTTTTGAGAATATGGATAGGAGGCTCTAGTCTAATCTCCGGAATTCCCCCAATTGCGAATGGCATAGGATCACAACTATAATAGCATCTGATATCAGATAGGTAGGTAATGAATTTTCACTTTCCCTTTTTTAATTCATTTCATATTAAAAACTGTGGAATGTCCTTGACATTCAAGTACGCACCAGAAGATTCAATATAAAAATTTTATATCTTCGCTTAGAAGTTCTGTTGGAATTCACCTTTTATTAGTCATTTCTACCACTTTTTCTTGATTCTGTTGAAAGATTTGACTGCTTTTTTGGTATTAAAAGAAGAATGAAAGTTTTCAATGGAAAATATTATGTAGAAAATATAAGGAGAATTGGATCAGTCTTTCTCCTAATTATTCAAAGTCTTGGAATGCTTTTTTTAAATCGTTTGCACTATTGCTACTTTGTCAACATTCTATATTCAAACGAGTTGCAATTGTTCTCTTGTTTTTTTTGTTCTCTTTTCCGTTGTTCTATCAATATACATTCATTTTAATTGGAATTCATGAATTATTTCTATGTATTTATGGCCAGTTATCTCTGCGAATTGTTCGGTTGTATAAGAAGGAACACATGGTCAGTTTCTCAAGCTACATAATAATTTGACTCTCTGCTGGAAATCTAGGATGCGCATGTGGAGCAAAATGTGAAAAATTTGGTCATGTTCAGTGGCACTGCCTAATTCAATCTGTTCATACAACTTATTCTACTAAGCTATTCTCTTTAGAAATTCCTTGACGTAAATTTTTAGTGTATTTCGGAAGGCATTTTTTCTTGCTTTTTCATTGAAATGAAAAACGAACAAAAAGATTTGAAGAATTTGAACCGGGAGATTCGTAACAGAAATAATCTCATTATAATCAATGGTATAAGGACATAAAAAA